CTGACAGAGATTAGTGATTTAGAAAGGGAGATAGACCAGTTAGAGAAAGAAGTGCTGACAGAGATTCGTGATCTAGGAAGGGAAGCAGACCAGGAGAAATTAAGAAGAGTCCAGCCAGAACCCATAAGAGGAAAAATCTTTATGTATTTTGAATCTGAATAAAATCTGTGTTCTTGTCTTTGTCTTTGTTATTGTTTTCAGAAAATCCAGTTCAAACTGGCTGGCTGGCTAGACTTTAGACTGTGAATGAAATCGTGACGTCATAATCACATTCTTGAGTCGCTGCCAAAATCGTAGTAACAGCGTTGTGAATCGTAGTAGCCACGTATAGTATAGTGTAAACACCGTATTTAGAGCTATATACTGACCCCCTTAGCCCCCTAGGGTTAGGGTTAGGGCTGTACTGAGTTGAACCCCCTATCCCCCCAGACCCCTAAATCTGCACTCTCTTGACCCCCCTATCCCCCCACGGCCAAAAGTGCACTCCCTTGAACTCCCCATCCCCCCAGCCCCAAAAGTGCACTCCGTTGACCTCCCTATCCCCCCCCCCCCAGCCCAAAAAGTGCACTCAGTTGACCTCGCCATCTAGGCCTGTTATACTACTCCTATTGCTATCTGTTTTTGTCCGTCGTCGTCCGTCGTGCGTTAACATTTAAATATTTTCAGCTTCTTCTCTGAAACCACTTAACCAATTTCAACCAAATTTGGCATATAGCATCTATCACAAAAATTGTGAATTTCGTGTTCCCTGCTCCCCTGGGGCCTGGGGGGTGGGGCAAAAACCACTAAAATTAGTGCAATCTTAAAAAATCTTCTTCTTTACTCCCGGACATCAAGCAGTCAAACTGTTGGTATGATTGTAATCAGCATTGAGTCCTCTACCCAAATTGTGAAATTCATGGCCCCAGGGTCAGGGATTATGGTGTTAGGGCGGGGCTCTATTGATTATATAGTGAAAATGCATTAATTCTTTGAAAATCTTCTTCTCTGTTCCTGAGTATTAAATAAACTAATTAAGTTCATAGTTATGATGAGCAAGAGTGCCTCTACCAAAATAGTGAAATTCATGGCCCCAGGGTCAGGGGTTCTGGTGTTAGGATGCGGCTCTATAATGATTATATGGTGAAAATACATTTTATACATGAAAATCTTTTTCTCTACTCCTGGGTAATAAGCAGAATGAACTGTTTACATAGTTATGATGGGATGGGCTCTTCTTCCAGAATTGTGGTACCAGGGATATCAAAATGGGGAGGGGGGGGGGGCTCTACTTATATACTGAAAATGAATTGTTTGAAATCTGCTCCTTGGTATTAATCAAACATTTTTGATAAGCAAGTGTGCCTTTTCAAAAATTGTGCAATGTGTAGACCTAGGGTCAGGGGTTCATGTGTGGTAGGAGCACTCCTGATTATTGCTGAACATTACTGATTAGTTGACATACTTTTTTGTTCCCCTACCCTGCTTATCCATTATAGTAAACAAACTAAACAACTGCTAAGTGTATAATTATAATTAGCATTGGTGCCTCTTTCAAAATTGTGAATGCCATAGCATCTAGCTTAAAACATGAACCAAATTCAATCATTTGAAAGTTGTTGCATGATGCTCAGGTGACCTATAATGCCCATGGGCCTCTTGTTACCATACAAGCAAATACCCATGATTGTGATTTCCCGCTTTCGGTATCTTAGTAGATGCAGTAGTTGGGGTCCCATTATTTGTTGCATATTGTTTATAATATGAACGCCCTGTTACATCTCATTCAAAAGTAATCATTAAAACTGATTGCTTTTAAAATTAGGTTAAATTAAACATGAAGTCTATGTCAAAAATCATAGCATGCTCTGAAATATCTTGTCACGTTTAATACACGTCAAATATGAAAACCCTAGGCCTATCTATTTTCAATCAATAGCTATAAGGAAATATAACATTTTTGAAAAGTATGTCAAGGTCACAGGGTCAAAAATCAGATTAAATTTGGAAAGGTCTTGTCACAGGTAAATTGAATGTACATGTGAAATATGAAAGCCCTCTCTGTTAAGCCCCACCAAGGTTTAAGATTTTGTGAGAGGCAGACTGACAGACGAATGAGATTTAATGTTCCTTCTCATTAGCGATAGCTTGGGGGCAATAAAAAAACATTATCAAAAGTTTAAACCTTAGAAACATTATTATGAACCACACTGTATAGAATACAAAATTTTCGGTTGTGTAGAATACGTAAGTTTCATTGTTTACTCCCGGAAAAGTCATATTAATTCGGACCATGTGAAAAATTGACAGAGCGAAAAAGTTTCTTGACTTGTGAATTATAGAGTGAATGGATATTGTAAAGTTTTTTTTACACAGTGTAATTTTCTTTGTTGATATGAAATATCTGAAAAGAAAAAACAAAACAAAAGCCCATGGGCCTTATAATTCACATGAGTACATGTATCATGTAACAACTTTACAACAATTGAATTTGAAACCTGTTTTAAACCAGAGGCCATGCAATTCACAGTTTTGAAAGAGACACCATTGCTTATCATAACTATACCTTTAGAATGCTTACTTTGGTTACTTAATACCCAGAGGTAGATCATAGTAACAAAGAGAAAATAAATGCATTTCCACTTTATCAGTTGTGCACCCCATCCCACAGGAACCACTGACCCTGGGGCCACATCTTTCAAAATTTTGGAAATTTTATTTCATCATGTTGTTGATTAATACCAAAGTGCATATTTCAAAGCATTCAATTATTTTCAAGCTATGTTACCCCCCCCCCCCCCCAAGTACCACTGTCCCAGGGGGCCCAGAAATTAACAATTTTGGAAAAGGCAGCTTTCTTTGTCATAAATATGTACTAAAATCATTGGCATAATACCCAGGATCAAGGAAAATATTTTCAAAGGATCCATGCATTTTCACTATACAAACATTAGAGCCTAGTCCTAACACAATAAGCCCTGATCCAGGGGCCCTGAAATTCACAAATCTCAAAAAGGCACCCTTCTTCTTCTCTGCTCCTGATTTTCTTGATTGTCCCCCTTGGAAAAGGGACTTGGCCCTTCATTTTTTCAATTTAAATTTTCTTTCATCCAAGGATGTTTTGTACCGAGTTTGGTTAAAATTGGCCCAGTGGTTCTTGAGAAGTCGAAAATTTGAAAAGTTCACAGACGGACAAACAGCTATAGACAGAGAGACAAACTACAGACAAAATGTGATAAGAAAAGCTCACTTGAGCTTTCAGCTTAGGTGAGCTAAAATTTATTTGTGTGATGGTTTTAAATTCCTTAATAAAGTTATGTTTCCACTAATTTTTAATTTCATATGTTCAAAATAAAACTACATGTACATTTTGAATGTGAGAACAAATCATTGGCGTCGGAAGCAAATTGAAAGTGGGGGGGGGGGGGGGTAAGTGTAACAGAAAAAAAGGTAATATTTCCCAAAGGCGAAAATCCTATTTCATGGGGGGGGGGGGGGGGGGGGGGGGGGACTTTTTAGTAGCAAATTTTTTTTCCAAACACCAAAAGTTTACCCATTTTTAACCTATACTGCAAGGTGTCTGTGGGGGGGGGGACTAAACCTACGAAACAAGGTTCAGTGTCTATACTAAGTATATATTTGGGAAAAAAGTGGGGGGGCTAAGCCCCCCCCCCTAGCCCCCCTCCCGGTTCCGACGCCTATGCAAATTATTTTTGTACATGTTCATATGTACATTTAATAAAAGTAATGTATAATAACTTGATTCACACCTCGAGGCTGTATTTTATGTCGATGATTCTACAGCTGTTGAAAGATGACGGGGGTATAGGGGGGATGATTAGCCTGTCTCCTGACCAGATCTCTGTCTCCCCGGGCTGGATATCCGGATGAATGACTCGTCCTACTTCTTTAATTCTTGAAGTATATGTTTCGTCAGCATGAAAATAAACATACTATTTAAAATTACAAAATGAGTCACCATGTTTCTTTTAACATGTATGTATCATACAGAGAAGATTTATGAATATTATGAGTATATAGCAAACGATATGTCAACTGTGAACCAAGAAAAGACTGCCAAAAAACAAAACGTTGAACCGGGTATCTACCATTTCATTGTTTTCGTCTATGATTTGAGCTCAAACTTGTAAGTTTATAACATTCAACTGGAGCATGCAAAGAGAAATATGTTCTGACAACTTTTTAAAAAGCTTTTATCAAAATTCTTGGTCTATCTACATTCATTATAGGTACTTGAGACTATGATATCCATGGCTATTTATTCTGCGCACGCGCACAATGAGGAAGAAGAAGTAAAGCACTATTTTCGTTATGGGGCATACTCAAATAATTTTTACATATATTTTTCTCCATAAAAATAGATTTTTCGGTCCTGCAACCTTATACTTTTAGGAATAAAAAAAATTGACACGGATCATGCAAACATTCTACGTTGGTCAATTTTCCCATTTGTGCGTCACGGTGTCTCTTTAAGTAATGAAAGGTGTTCTTTTCAAGATGAGATATTTCAAACGAGTATATATGTTCGAGAAAAAAATGATATAATACGGTTATGGAGATAACGAACAGTATTCAATACTGAATGTATACAATATTCCTAAAATTAACATCTTACAAAAGAATATTTACCGTTCACTACAATAGATTATTGTAAATACAGTTTTTTTTTGGCTATTAATAACAAACTGCAAATGCAGGGACGCAAATTCAGAGATGGACATTGAAGGTCAATGAAGAATATTTACGGTTTACGTATATTACACTGGTTTTGATCATTTTAATAAATACCTTTGGGCTCTGGGAATACTGTTCTTGGGGTAGCTTGTCATATTGTCCTTCAAACAGCAATTGTTGTGTCATGTTATTGACATTTTATACTAAGAAGCATGGTTAGACAAGTAAAAAGTAAAAGTTCTTCGTAGATGTCGTCAAAAGCTTATCTTAATAGAAGAAATATTGGATGAAAGATCCGTGTCATGAAAACAGAAGTCATTAACAGCAATATCCTCAATATTTTTTGAAAAAATTTTATTGACTTCAAAATGCAAACTGTAATTAATTTCCATTTATTGTATGCAAAACGACTCAGAATAAAGCAGTTTGAGTTTTTAATGGAATTTGAGTGTTCAACATTTTGAATCGCCATTTTGAAAATGATTCAATCTTGACCAAGTCAATCATAACATAGCCGGGTATATGTTATGATCGACTTGGTCAAGATTGAATAATTACCAACCAAGATAGGATGACCATGTTATCAATCCTGACTTGGTCAGGATAAGACGGCTATGTTATTAATCTTGACGCGATCGACATTGAATCATGACTTGGCCAGGATAGGATGGTCATGTAATCAATTCTGACCTAGTCAAGAGTGTAAAAATCTTGACTTGGTCAAGTTTGTAATCTTGACATGGTCTGGATTGCTAAAATAGCAATGCCTTCCCCTAAAAAATGATACCTGTTTAGTTAAAAAAAAACTTTACGATCGGGATCGACTGAGTGAGTGAAGTAAGAAACTTAGTAGGCCTAGTATAATACAATTTTTAAAAATGTGTTTGTTTGGTTTGTAATTTTTGTGAGCCGGTACACTTTTACTGCTCAAACTTATACATGTACTGCATCAAATAATACTTTAACTTAACTACTGTAAATTATTATCACAAACCTAAACTCCTGTAAATTACTTTCAAACTTACCATCCATAACCTGAGATCCATTTTACAAACTCTTCTCGACATGTTTTCTATTTCCGCAATAAAGTTTATTGCTTCGCCAGGAACATACCCGACTCTGTCCACCATCAGACTTGTTTCGATTGGTCCCGACTTACAGCATAAACAACATAGGTAATAGGTACTTTCCATTCCATCCTTAAGCTGTATTTTTAAAAAAAAAATGCTCAAATGTACATGTTAATTTCAAAATATTAGTCCCATTTTTTATTTAATGAGTACTTAAAGGCTGTATTTCTAAATATTTACATCCACCAAATATCATTACCATCCTTTCTAATGAAAATCATTGCCGTTTATCAGTCAGTAAACACCACTAAACAAAACCACATACATAGATTTATTGAGAAACGGCTGTTTTATCAATTATGTATACAGTGTCATACTAGTACACATCTATAACACAATAATCAGCACGTTAAACTTAACTCTTTTTTTCTACAGATTTACATATAAACAATACATGTTTTTTTTTCTTTGTTAGTAAGAGAATTAACATCGTAGCCTTTGCAGAAATGTTTTTTTTTCACATAACCTGCTCATGCGTATTTTCCGGTGTAAAGACGAATAATGACCCCCATCGAATAATGACCGGGGGTCATTTTTCGACTGCGAAAAATAACCCCCGGTCATTATTCGACATAGAAAAATGACCCTTCTGCCCGTAGAAAAAGTGTCACCACTCTTAAAATTTGCAGAACCCACGTGAAGAAAAATGACTCCCGTAGAAAAATGACTCCCTGTTGATTAAAACTGAAATTTTTAGGGGGCAAAAAAAAAAAAATTTGATAAAGAAGCATATTGGCCAAAATGCTCACCTGAGCTTATTTTGAATAAATTCATGATATGTTGATCTCATAACATATGATTATGGCTATATTTTAAGGTCAATGCGATAATTCAGAATCTAAGGGAGTAAAGATTTATCCAGCCTAAAGGGTTAGGTAAACATTGTTTTTGGATGAATCATCGTACTGACAGAAATAATCAGAAGTATCATATATTAATTTATTCTCCGCTTGAAAAGCGGGAGGGTATATAGTGATTGGGATGTCCGTCCGTCTGTTACGCTTTGGGGTATCCATCTGTTATCAGCAACTCCTCTTATATATATAAAAAGATGTATTTGTAAAACAGCTATGCCCCTGTATGGCAACATAGCGAAGATTAAACTTTTCTTGAAGGCAATTTAAATATAATGGTACCCAAAGTAGGGTCTTCTCATAAGAAATATAATTGCAAAATAGGAAAGCTATAAAAATAATGTATTTGTTATGCCTAGCACCACTTGTTCAAAATTAATGGCAAAGGATAAGTGTTTGAAAGGTAGGTCAAACTCAATGGTCAAAGGGTCAAAGTTGATGGTTTCTTAAGAAAGGTTTAATGTAACAAGGATTACATTTGTGAAGTATGAGAGTATTAGTATCTACCGTTTAAAAATTATAGCCAGCGAAAATTAATTAAAAATTTGGCATTTTTGTGTAAAATGGGACAAACTCCAAGGTAAAGGTCAAAAGGTCAAATTTGGTGGTATGTTACAACGCGAAATGTAATAACAACGCGAAATGTAATAATCCCGGCTTATTACATTTTGCGTTATAACATTTTGCGTCGAGATCAACGCAGAATGTAGTAACGCAAAATGTAATAGCACGATTTTTAGATTATTACATTTTGCTTTGATCTCGACGCAAAATGTAATAACGTGCTTTTTCCTTGTTACATTTTGCGTTATTTTATTTTTGCACTGAAGACAACGCAAAATGTAATAAAACAATATGTAATAAAACAAAATATAATAATTATTTTTTTGATTGCGTTTAATAAAAAAGATCTTAAAATTTATTCAAATATATACATGTAACCAACTTGGGAAATATTTAGAAACTAAAAAAATATTTAGAACTAAAACAATGAGACCAACGTTAGGGCTTTTACGGACTTAAATACATCTAAATGTATTGTTTTTCTGACTGTGGTTTTAGTTATATTGAATACACTGTACTTAATTTTACAGAATTAATTTAACTTTGATTGGCATATTTTTGATAGTCTTATTTAATTTCCAACCAATAACACATATTTGATTTCAAAGATTGACCATAAGTTCATTAAAAGGTTAACAAATTAGAAGTTTCTGTGTGTGTCAAGCGAGGAGGGGCAGGGATGGGGTGGAATGTTTACTTTGTTTGTTTATTATTGTATTGCTGTGGACATGCACATACAATTCATTTTATCATAAGATGGAAGAAAGAGAGAGAAAGAATTTTGTTTTTGCTTGTCTGCAATGCTGGAGATTTGCATGGAACAGTATGTAATCATTATTGTCAATAAACCCCTTCCCGCTATATATTTACACCTGACAGTACAAATGAATAGTTTTTTTTAGATTCATTGCATTTGTCTAAAAAAAAGGGGGGGGGAAGCTCACTGGACAATACCCCCAACAAACCTGCCCACAGATGTACGTTTCTAATTTGCAACACCTGTAATTTGAATACATTTATTAAACTGATTTTAAATACATGTAGCTAATTAATTCAATATTATAAAATTTATTAATTGTAAGAAACTGCATACTAGTATATCTTTTTTCCCCTGTTCTATTATTTTCTTTTGATCGGCCACTACACTATTGAAAACTGTACTCAATCTGGCTGACGAAAAAAGTGTTATTACATTTTGCGTTCCTGCCTTTTGCTCAATCTTGACGCAAAATGTAATAATCCAAAAATCGTGTTATTACATTTTGCGTTATTACATTTTGCGTTGATCTCGACACAAAATGTAATAACGCGAAATGTATTAATTCTCGAAAGTGTGTTGTTACATTTTGCGTTATTACATCCTGCGATGATTTCGACGCAAAATGTAAGTATGCAATATGTAATAATCAAGGTTTATTACATTTCGCGTTGTTATTACATTTCGCGTTGTGTAAAATGGGACAAACTCCAAGGTAAAGGTCAAAAGGTTAAATTTGGTGGTACCCAAAGTAAGGTCTTATCACAAGGAATGTACACAAATTGAATATGAAAGACATAGCTACAATAAATGAAAAGTTATGGTACATGTAAAGGTTAAAGTTTTTGCGGAGAAACAGACCGTCAGATAGATGGACAGACATACAAGACGGACACGATAAAACTATATACCCCCGAATCTTCGATTACAGGGACATAAAAAAATGGTCTTCAATTAACTTTATATATTATGATACAGTATAAAGAAGACGTTACAAAAATGAAAATGTTTGTTCTGATTTTCATATTAAATTCTCTGAAAAATATACTCAAAACTGGGTAAAATCGTGGAGTAAAACAAGAATTACGAAATGTAATGAATACTGTGTGCTAAAAAGGTTGTGTCTACATGTATAGGTTTTGCATTAGAATGTGTATTTTACACTAGCCCATAGCTTTACAGAGCATATTTTTAGGTGTTATACCCACCCCACCCCCTTACTTATTTAAGAGGAAGTTGATTATCTACAAAAGCAACAACAACAAAAAACTACCCTACCTTTATTTTTCTATAAGGAGGCACTAAAAATAAGCTTAAAATAATCTACTCTTCTACTAATTTTCAACTGTTACTCTACCACAATACTTTCAAGTATACCCCCCACCAACATTTAAAGTATGCTTTAATCATGGCAAAGTAAATTATGATATGATTGAACTTGTGTGAAGGCTAAACTTCATTTCAATATTTTATCTAGAGCCTCTTTCAGTATTATTGAAAGGTATAGAGTTTTATTAATATTTTTGCTTTTCATTTATTATTATTTCTTGTTTGTTTTTATTTAAGGTAATTTTTTTTTTTGGGGGGGGGAGGGTAAAAATTTCATCCTCTTTCATTGTCAAATAGGATTTGCCAAACTTATACAAGCTTCAAGTTGAAATGAAGGAAAAATTTATTTTCCTATTAAGAGTATTGGAATCTGATTGTTGCATGGTTTGATTTCTAAAAACAAATGGAATATCATTCTTTAAGCAAACAGTATGATTAAGGAGGAATATTAAAAAGAAATTTTATTAACTTGACAATTAAAGAATCTCTTTTCACCTTAAAGGGGGTCATTTTTCAATGGTGGTCAATTTTTTATGGGACTAACATATAAAATAATGAACCCTAGGACACTTTTTTGTGCAAATTTCCTTTAAACTTTTTTCAATATGCTTAGTATCGCAGGATCATAAATGAATTTTAAAAGCTACAATGATATCAACTTTTTGTCATTTAACGCATTGTTCGCAAACGCACGTGCATGCACATGCAAGGTGATCATAACATGTTGTCTAAACCATTAACATATCTTTATATTCCAGAAATCAATAAAAAGTCATAAAAATATAAATTTTACCGTTTTTCAAACATATTGTTCATTTTACGCATTGCATGTGCGCATGTGCATGCAAGCACGTCCTTGCATTCAATTTTGATAGCAATATCATGTAGGAATCCATAAAACCTATTCATATTCTACCCTATAGGCATGTAAAGTTTCAGCCAATCATTTTTCGTGGATGGGGGTAGATCATAATATGTGACTAAGTTCAAATTTTCAAAGGATTATGACGTGATTTTGAGCAAAAGCGCACGTGTATGCGGGTAAGATCTTGCAATTTTGACCATGTCATCTTGTCCATACTACTACTATATTCATCCATTGTGAGTTTCAAAACATTCCATCAAGAAATAGAAAAGTTACGGCTTCATCCATTATCTTGGTAATTTCACATGTTGAACGTGCGCGCTCTTGCCAGCACACGCGCATGTACGTGTTTTCATGATAATTATTATATATCATGCTGTAGATCTTCATATTGTGTGACTAAGTTCAAAATTTCAAAGGATTATGAGGAAAAACAAGAAAGATATTGAGACTTTAGTTTCAGCCAATCAGAGCGAAGCGCACGTTCATGCGCATGAGACCTTGCTATTTTGACCATGTCAGCACGTCTATACTACTAATATATACTTAAATAATGAGTATCAAAGCATATAATCAAAAAATTTACGGCTGTAATTTTGGTCATTTCACGCGTTGCACGTTACTATTGCAAGTTGCACGCAAAATGACATTCGTTTTCTACATAACATGCCTACTAACCCTAGAAAGGTTTCAAAGTCGGACGTGTAGTATACAAGATCATTCGCGGAAAAGATTTTCCCAGGAAGAAGAAAAATAATAATAATAATAACTAGCTCTAATTGTAACGGGGACCGTTACAGAAACGCTCCCCAACTTGCTTTTTGTAAAATTTCCTTTAAAACTTTTTTAAATATGCTTAGTATTCGCAGGATTTCATAAAAGAATTTTAAAAGCTACAATGATATCAACTTTTTGTCATTTAACGCATTGCACGAAAACGTACGTGCATGCACATGCAAAGTGATCATGGCATGTTGTCTAAACCATTTACTTATCTTTATGTTCCAGAAATCAATAAAAAGTCATAAAAATATAAATTTTACCGCTTTTCAAACATATTGTTCATTTTATGCATTGCGTGTGCGCATGTGCATACAAGCACGTCCTTGCATTCAATTTGATAGCAGTATCATGTAGGAATCCATAATACCTATTCATATTCTAAACTTCATCCTCTATTGTTGAGAAACAAGAAAGATATAGCCATGTTAAGTTTCAGCCAATCAGATTTCAGCACACGTGGATTTACGTGCTTTCATGATAAATCTTATATATCATGCTGTAGATCTTCATTATGTATGACTGTTCAAAATTTCAAAGGATTATGACGTAAAACAAGAAAGATATTGAGACTTTAGTTTCAGCCAATCAGAGCAAAACGCACGTGCATGCGCGTAAGATCTTGTAATTTTGACCATTTCGTCTTGTCTATACTACTACTATATTCATGCATTGTGAGTTTCAAAAAATTCCATCCAAAAATTAAAAAGTTACGGCTTCATCCATTTTCTTGGTAATTTCACATGTTGCACGTGCGTGCTCTTGCCAGCACATGCGCATGTATGTGCTTTCATGAAAATTATTATATATCATGCTGTAGATCTTCATAATGTTAGACTAAGTTCAAAATTTCAAAGGATTATGACGTAAAACAAGAAAGATATTGAGACTTTAGTTTCAGCCAATCAGAGCGAAGCGCACGTGCATGCGCGTGAGATCTTGCTAATGTCATTACTACTAAGATATACTTATATTATGAGTATCAAAGCATATAATCAAAAAATAGAAAAGTTACAGCTGCATTTATTATTTTGGTCATTTCACGCGTTGCAAGCGCTCTTGCAAGCACGTGCACGCAAAATTTCTTTCCGCAAATCTACATAACATTTTTACTGACCCTAAAAAGGTTTCAATGCGGAAAAGATTTTCCCAGGAAGAAGAAAAATAATAATAATAATAATCTGATGAGTAAAAAACAAATGTTCCCCAACTTCGTTTGGGGAACATAATAATAAGAAGAAACAGAGTAAAAACAATATGTTCCCCAACTTCGTTTGGGGAACATAATAATGAACCCTAGGACACTTTCTACAAAAAATGAATTTTTTCTACGGGTAGGGGGTCATTTTTTGTCGTTGAAAATGACCCCCGGTCATTTTTCGATGGGGGTCATTATTCGTCTTTACACTGGCAACAGGTGCGACACTAATTCCTGATCTAACAACCAAAAACAAAGCATTTTACTATGAAATCACTAATTTTCATGGGGGGTTAATATTCGTTGTTTTCGAGGCAAGGGGAGACCCACGAATTTATGACCAACACTTAATGTAAAATTTAATATACATTACTATTAAAACATTCTCCATCCACGAAATCCATTCCCGTAAACCAAAGATTTTTTCCTCAAACCTCGAAAAGTTGACCCCACGAAAATATGTGATTTCAAAGTATTGTTTAAATATACCCACAGCTGCATTTGGTCGTGTGTTTAAGTCTAACATTGCAACAACAGTGAAAGCTATCTTCGTGGTAAGGTCAAACTTCCAAGGCCTGTCAATGGTTCCTTTAATAGTGTATCTGATGAAACCTGGATTTTCTTCAAATGATGATGGGAGATTCTGGGGAAGTTGGAAGGAAAATGGAAAGTCGTGTCGTCCTGGGGGTAACCGATTATCGTCACCCATCCCCGCTCCTGAATGACGATCGCGAGTCATTTAAATAAAATGTTACTGATTCTGTTAAGCACTAAATGCACAAATACATGTATTAAAATCTTTAAAGAGTCTTTCAATGTATATAAGGTAACAAAAAAAATGCTTAACTTATTAATATCATTTGATACCTTTTAAAATTGTGTGAATAATAATGTCAGTTACAGTATACATCAAAACGTTTCCAAGGCATTCTTATTTGTTAAACCTCAAGCCCTGCTGTTATGTATTTTCCTTTTAGTAATAAAAAAAAGTATACCCCCTACGGCCGTACGTAATAGGGGTATATCTTTTTAACTAAAAGAAAAATAAGTAACGTCAGGGGCCTGTGCTTTAACTCCTTAAACAATATAAGACCCCCCCCCCCAAAAAAAAAAAGCAATGCAAAATTTAAACCTGTAATACGTAATTATTTACTGTATACAGTGTATATCTAAATTTTCTTTGGTCGTTTCGTTGTAACTAAAACGTGTGCTCAAAGGACTTAATTCTGCATTATACAAATCCTTTTGTAAATTCCACAGGTGCTGGAGGACAGGACCCACACCCCATCCCAACTTCCATATTGACCCCGGGCATTTTGAATTTGTTGTAATAAATTATCTTTCAATAATATATTTTTGATAAAATCTATACTAAAAATTAATAAGAAAAATTATGTAAAACAGATATTTTCATAAAATCTACCTTATCTCTCTATATATAAGGTGTTATATACTGAGTGGGGTAGAATTCTTTTTATATATATTAAATGTTTGTTTAAACTTAATCTTAAATATACTAGTAACTTGAGACATATAGTTGATATTAATAACAAAACATATTCTCTAATAAAAATGTGTGGGGGTAAGGTTCCAAGATATTAAATGTTTCAAATGTGTATTTAATGAATATTTTTCTACCACACCAAATAAACCCTTAAATTCCTTCTTCTTTATGGATTTGTGAGGAGTTCATCTTATTTGAATGTTTTAATAGGTATTGTTTAATTCAAATATCTAATATAAAAATTGAATTTTTATAAATAGTTTAAAAGTTAAAGATTCTGACTGAACCTTGCTTAAAAGCTCACTTAAGCTTGTGCCTATAGGTTAGGGATTAATGAAGTGATAAAAGCTTGGACATAAATATACTTGGCATAAAAAACGTCATAGAGAACGTTATAGGGGTACGTGTATGCTTAGCTACTATATTATATTATTTTCTTTTTGAAGACCTATGTCGTGATCAACAGTTATCACTTTTGATCGCTTTATTAAAAGTAACCTCTTTTTATCCCTGTCAGGACTCTCACAAGAACAGTACGTAGCAGATTTTTAAAGAAAGTTTGTTATAATAAAAGGCGAAGCGTATTGCTGCCAACTGAAAAAAAAATCATTCTAAGTCGCACGTACTAGTTACTAAGTCGTACGTACGAGATAAAAAGTCGTACGTGAGACTTTTTATGATTTTTGACCTCAAAACCTTGATTTTGATGTTTGACCTACTTTTCAAAAACTTTAACTTTCATCATAGATTTTGAAAAAGAAGAGATTGGGCTTTCATATAAAAATGTTTTTAAAATGCCTGCGACAAGAACTTTATTAATATACTATGATTTTTGACCCCGTGACCTTAACTTAATGTTAACATACTTTTCAAAAAACCTTAACCCCGTCATAAATTTTGAATGAGAAGAGATATGGCTTTCATATTGAATCTGTGTATAGCCTGTGATAAGACCTTTCTAAATATACTTTGATTTTTTACCCCTTGACCTTGAAGTTTTAAAACTTTTGAAAAAATAAACATTACTTAACCAAAACTTTTGAATGAGATGGCTTTCCTGTTATACATGTGCATTATCTGTGACAAGACCTTTTTACATCTTGACCTTGAATTTTGTCCTATTTTTCAAAAGCTTTAACCTTGGTCATAAAGTTTGTATGAGAAGAGATAGGGCTTTCATATTAGATCTGTGTATTGTCTGTGACAAGACCTTTCTAATATACTTTGATTTTTTTTTTTATATAGTGGACTGGTTCGAATCACCTGGTGGCACACATTTACTCTCATAACAGGTTTGTGTATTTCACTTCAATTTTCGTCTCTAAATGTTTGTACGAAAGGGAGAATAATTTTAGTCCTCAAAAAAGTATGTTTACGCCGTGGAATAGTCCCATGGAGTTGATTGCTTTTTATTTTTTGAGAATAATATTTGAGATCTGCATTCTCATATATTCTGATTAAAAATCACAAGAAAATTGAAGTGATATACACAAATTTGTTTCTATATTCAATATATATGATCAAAAATTTAAGTCCAAAAGGACCCAAATTCCTTTGTAAATTGAATTGTTTGTAAATTTTGTTAATTTTGTAATAAGATAATTTTGCATCTATTCCCTATGAATGTAGGAATACGATGCTGTTATCGACTTAGTTTAGTATCTCTTACTTACGACATATTATCTCTTACGTTCAACTTAATATCTCGTAGGTACGACTATGTATCTTGTACGTATGTCTTGGTATCCTATACCTACGACTTAGAAAAAATTTAAAACAAAATTTAAAAAAGATAAGAAGAAAACAATTGGCAGGAATGCGCTTCCGTTAAAAGGAAATGTGTTAAAAATAGAAAAAAAAATACTGTAAACCAACTTTTATTCGCATGCTAGAAATTTTCGCGAAGACAGCCTCATCATTGCAAATATTTCTCGCCGCGAACCGGTACTTTAAGTCTCTTTGTCTATTAACAACAGACCGAAAAAGCCTGATCGCGAAAATTAATCGTGGTCAACTAGTTTACCCCGGTTAAATTGCGAAATAAAGTCGTCGCGAATAAAAGTTGGTTTACAGTATACAAGCCATGGGATGTTGCAAAACATCCGCTTATACTCATTTTAATGTTTTAATTTTTAAAATGAAAATTTAGCTAAAGTCAAGTTTGTCTTACAACCTTTGCCAAACAAGAGTATAGTTGTCTTGAAGTACTCCTCATAATCGTCGTGTTCCTCACGCTCTATCGTAAAGTAAACAGAAGCTTCTCCTTTGAATCTAACTTTTATTTCTAAAATATGATAGAATAGATAGGTTTGAAATGAAACCACACCAGGAAAGTGTACCGATATTTTTCAAATTAAAAAATTACTCCAATTGAAAAAAAAAAAAAAACATCTCTACATATTGAGCTATAATGATTGTTGCTGTCCTACTAAAATATTTTCGTTTTTTACAACATTAACTTTTATAAATTTTACATTACCTCGAACTTTCATCTCTGCATCCAGTTCAACAACAAGTTTCCCATTTATGGTCTGTCCAGCCAAGAAAACCCCTTGGGGGTTTTCAAGTGCAATGTAGAAGGCTTTCAAATTTCCCATTTTATTTTCTGTAATGAAATGACATTCAAATAAATTCTTACATGTTAGTATCCTAACTGTTTAAAATTAAGATTCTTATCCAAACTTAACTTTACCGTCTTGACGAGCAAAGTTTTAACTTTACCCCTGGCAACAAAATCTTCACCAAGAACAGTTAAATGTGAACATTATATGAGACACACAGGCAGACATACAGAATCCTTGACCCCAAACATTTGATTCTTAAAGTAAAACACTTTTTATTTCGTTATTTCTACTTCCCCGAGAGTTTTTTAAACGTCATAGATATTGAGGTCTTATCTCGCTGTTACATTTCATCTCGATATTACGACTTAAGACTGAGTCGTACTATGACGAAAAGTACTTTTGTCGTAAGAACTACGGACCTTTTTAATCTCGTAATGTCGACTTTTAATCTTTTATTCTCAGCTTCCTAATTTGACCATGAAGCTTTCGTAGCAGAGCCAGGATGACATATGAAGAAAGCGAAAAATTATCATGCTCGGAAGTCCATTTAAAGAAATCTATACAAATTGTGAGCATAGCCAACACAACCCTCTGTCAACAAATGTGGGACCAGGTGCCACAACCCTCTGTCAACAAATGTGGGACCAGGTGCCATGGAGTAGTGGGGAGGGGGACATCCCCTTCTGGTCGTCAAACCCGCTGTGAGCCCCTTCTTATGATCGAGTCTAATATTTTAAAAATATACTTTAATGCAGTCAACATTAGAGCTAACGGCAGATTATATTTTGCAAACAATAATATTTTTGTTCCTTTAAACAAAAAAAATCGTCAGCCATATCGACCAGTTAGATATTAGAATTAACGAAATATTGATTTAAAAGGAGATTGTGAAACCCTTATAACACCAACGTATTTGTCAATAGCCTGCCTTGTTTTGAAATATGTAGAACATGCTTATAAATGCGCATCGAATCAACTGGTAGACGTTAACTCCATATGCTGGTGATAAAGGTATATGATGGTTTTATGCTACATAAATAAAGGTGCAGTTTTTATT